TTTCCTTCTTGGACTCCTTCCGCCGACTTTTACCGGAATTTGCCAGGATTTCGGCAGAAGCGCCGCTGGCTCAAAATCTGCAGTTTACGTTTTGCAGTCATGTATCGCCGTACCGAACAGCGGACTTGCCCAGATTCTTCGCTGAGGACTTCGCGGTCTCAGCTTCCCTTCCCCGTCCTCCCAACTCGGCCTGAAAACGTCGTGGCTGGCCGGCTGAGACACCCAGGAAAACAGACACTTTAGGCTCCCTCCTGTTCTAATGTAAAGATTCACCCAAAGACACACATGTTGAGAACCAAGTTGGGGAATGTGGGGAGGAGCCGTGAGAGAACCTCCCAGACCACCATTCCTAAGGACAGGGAGTCTCCTCTAACCACCTCGATTTGGCCCCACAGCTCCTGAGCTAGACGCCCACTAGCTGAAGACAACGTTCCTTTGTTCCTTGTTTCAGCGATATGTGGGCGACACCCACAGCCAGAAGAACCTGGGGTGAGGGGGAGAAGGCGCTTTGAGATATACATACAAACATTTCTCTGTGTGTGTGTGTGTGTGTGTGTGTATGTGTAGTTTTGAGGAACCCAAGCACAGAAATCAATTACAGACGACTCACAACTAAAGAGAGAAAAAGAGCAAGTAAGAAAGAAACAGAACAGAGTGCAAAAGTTCTTGACCCTTTTTGGTGGGAATAGGGTGGAGAGGAGTAAGGGGAACAGACTAGAGCAACTCCTATTCTACAATAAAACATATTCAGCTATATTCGTATTCAAATCTTATTTATATTTAGCACTTGTGCACTTTTCTTTTGGGGATTTAAATAGCACAAATTCAATTATTTCTGCATCAAATGGATAATAATATTTTGCATTTTTATAATTCTTGACAAAGAAAGCACTTTCATAGGCTTTAGGATTGGAAGGGACTTTAGAAGCTCTCTAATCCAATATTCTATTCAGTGCAGGCATCTCTGCAACATCTCTGACAGCTGTTCTAGACTACTCCAACACATTCAGTGATGGTTACCTCAAAAAACAAGTTTCATTTAGTGAACAGCTTAATCATTAGAAAGTTGCAATATTAAAATACAGTTTTCTGCTATTGAACTTCTAGTCATTGATCATACTTTGGCCCTCTAGAGTTTCACATTAATAAATCCAACGAATGCCTCTTTCACTTTGCTCTTTAAATAATTTCTTTTAACATGTATGCATTGACTTTTCGCCCAAGTCTGTGGGAGATTCAAAGATACAGACATGTTTTTTGTCCTCAAAAAGCTTATAGCTGGGCCGGCCCGGTGGCGCACTGGATAGTGCGCCGCTTGGGAAGCGCGGCGGCGCTCCNAAAATACAGTTTTCTGCTATTGAACTTCTAGTCATTGATCATACTTTGGCCCTCTAGAGTTCCACATTAATAAATCCAACGAATGTCTCTTTCACTTTGCTCTTTAAATAATTTCTTTTAACATGTATGCATTGACTTTTCGCCCAAGTCTGTGAAAAGTGCGGTGGGAGATTCAAAGATACAGACATGTTTTTTGTCCTCAAAAAGCTTATAGCTGGGCCAGCCCGGTGGCGCACTGGATAGTGAGTTGCGATCCCGTTGCCGGTCCCTGGTCCGGTACGGGGGCAACACTGAGGGTTGCGATCCGTTGCCGGACACGGAAAAAGACAAAAGACAAAAAAAAAAAAAAGCTTATAGCCTTGGCAGGATCAATAAATAAGGAATACAATAAAGAAAGTAGCAATCCTATGAAAAGGGTGTAGATAAAAGGGGTAGGTAGATAAGGAGAAAGTGATTACTTACAGCTGGGAAGACAGGATTAGATAAGAATGTTGACTCTAACATCCTGTAAACATTTGTTGATGATTTTGCTTGCGGAGTGTATTTTTTTTTTTTTTTTTTTTTTTTTTTTTTTTAAAAACCCCGGAAGGGGGTTTTTATTTTTTGTTTTGGGGTTGTCCACCCCCGGGCCCC